TGTCGAGGTTTCTGGCTACTCTTTGTTCGATTTCCGGATTCAGACCTCTAATAAAACATTTACACATATCCTTTTCTAAGTCCAGATACTACGTTCTGGGAGAGAATTTCCGGAGTTTCGATTGGCCTCTAATATTTCTTTACCTAATTTGCATAAGTTACAACATCTTCATTACCTTTTTGATAAATAGAGCCTAGTTCATCTTGTAATTGATATACGTTTTTGGAATGACCATAAATTTGTTTTAAAAAATTTGTAAGTTGAGTAACATTGTCGAAGTCCTGACCTGCGACGGTACGACGGGCTTCCCCAACTATTTGCGTTCTTATAACTTTGGTGAATTGCAATTCGACTTCATCTGGTAACATGGATTTAGCTTCTTTACATCCCTCGATAAAATAACTTAGAGGGATGTTCTGGCCGTCAAAGAAAGGGACGGCCTCTATAGCGTTTTTTAATGTGGCGAAAAAATTATTTTGCGCCATTTAATTTATTTAAATCTTCTGGCTGTAGTAATGTCAAACTTGCCCGTTAACGCTAAATTTTCGGGGTGTAATGTATTAGACTCGGATGCTTCGCAAATGGTTTCCGATTCTTCAACAATTATGGTCTTTTTTAAAGGAAAGGCAAGTCTGGAAGCAGAAGTTTTTGCTGGGGTAGAAGTGTATATAGTTTCTGATATAGTCTTTTTAGGATTACCGCCACTTTCTAGCTCAAGGTTGTAGAGAACGTTTATTTTAGCCTTAGACCTTGTAGTCATTCCCGTCTCCAAAGATTGCATTTATCATCCCGAACGAGTTCCCAAATTTCTGCTATTTGTTACGTCCAGCCCGAGATAATTAATTTTAAAGAGAAAATATGGATGGGCTACAAAGGATGCTCCAAATATTCTTTCGCAGATGCGCGCGCTAGGGCGTTCCTACGAGTCGGACGCACGTGCAGATCCACGAGTGCGGGTCAACGCCTTGAGAAAGACGCTATGACTCCGACTGCGTGACGCACGCCTGTCGGTAATTTAGGCAAGAGAGTTTAATCTCTTTTGCCAGGGACAGGACTATGTGCGAATCTTGGGATAGGGGGGGAATGAAAGAAGGAGGAAATAACTAAACGCCAAATAATTTGAATTTTACATATAATTGATAATTTTAAATGAATACAAATTTAACAAAACTACAAGATTTACGTTATTACTTCTATTCTATACTTCTTTCCAAGTATATTTGCTTGAGGTATATTTATATTTAATCAATAAAAAAAAATGTTACAAATGTTTTTTTTGTTTGAGATGGGAAAAAACGAAGATTTATATAATATACATACGATTGAATATTCTAGAAAATTTACGGATGCATTATTCGATTTCTGTGTACGAATTCAATTATATTTATATATTTGTCCACATAATTATTTTTACATAGGGTTATTTTGTATATTTAAATTTATACTTTGGTATCTGTGTGTGTACGTGGGTGTTTTGGAGAAGGGGTCGGATTTTTGGTGGCGAGGTCTAGAGGAGGGGGGGGAAGAAGTTCGGAGTTCGCAGAACTCGGGGATTCCTTAGTGAGGAAATTTGGATGTTGGAAATCCGAGTCGTGGTGTTCCGAAAAGAGTGCGCTGAAATCTGGGGATGATAATACCCAACCTCAGATGATCTGATTGGAGAGTAGGACGGAGAGAAAATATCGGGTGAATAAAGCTTCGTGCTAGAGCTCGTGATTTCGTCCGTTCGTATAGAAATCTCGGATATCCTTGCCGAAGGGTTGTTGGCCAGTCGACGAGCTCGCTTATTTCGACGATAACGGGGCCTCTTCAGGGCTCGCCTCCGTCTCTGAGCGTCGGAAAGAGAGGATGATGTAAATTTCACTGGAAGAAATAGATCAGTGAGAGAAATCGTTGGAGTGTGAAAGAAATATCATTGGTTAAACCTTAAGGCTATCTCCGAAATATGTCGGGAAGCTGAGAGGTTCGAAGAGGAGGAGAGAAATGAAGAAAGGAAAGAGAAAATTGTAAAAGAGTAAAGATTTCCTGAATTATTCGATGCCCATGAACCTGCTTAGCGCTCCACAACGCATAGGGAGCCCAAGAGGTCCGACGGCTAAAGCAAAGAGAAAAAGAGAGAAAAGGGAGTAGAAATGTAAGGAGAAACGGCAGAGGTTAGAAAGGATGTAAGGGAGAAATGAAAAAATATAAGGAGAAAAGATCCAAGAGTTATTAGAGAATTGTATGTAGTTAAATTTACTGTTATTTAGCTAGAATGCCGAAGACTTGGGACCTACGAGGTTATGAAGATGGAAGCGGTGTCGCCAGGAAATCTTGGTCACTTGCACTTGGTGAAAAAAATATATTTCGACTGATACCGATTGATTGAATTACTGACAAAACTGACGGACTGAAAACTGTTCTGGCCGAGTGAAAAAAGAAGTAGTAGTACTTTCGTGCCTTTAAGGGCGCTCTATATATACCAGATGTATGCATAAGTTTTTTCCGGTTTAACTAAGAGATGTCGCCAGCGAAAAATACGCAGCGTATTAATTTGACACATACATCATTTTGTTCGTCTGACATTTAAAACTACAAACACACACAAGTTGAGTCCGCCAAAAACTAGCGTCTTTGTTTTATCGTTCAATGATCATGTCGAGTTTTGTGCCTGAAAAAGAACATTTGCGGCACGCATTGCTTTTTTTATTTAATCAAAAGAAAAAGGCTGTTGAAAGTCATCGTTTGCTGGTAAAAATATATGGTGAACACGCTCCATCGATTAGAACATGTGAGACATGGTTTCGACAATTTAAAAGTGGTGATTTCAATGTGAAAGACAGTGAGCGCTCTGGTAGACCACAAAAATGCGAAGACGAGCAATTGCAGGAGTTATTGGATGATGACCCAACTCAAACTCAACGGCAATTAGCAGAAGCATTACATGAATCACAAGAAACAATCAGCAGACGTTTACGAGCAATGGGAAAGATCAATAAACTCGGTAAATGGGTCCCACACGATTTGAATGAACGTCAAATGGAAAATCGCAAAGTCACTTGTGAAATGCTGCTTCAACGCCACGAAAGGAATCATTTTGATCGAATTGTGAC